GGGGGCCCCTGGGAAAGGGCGCTTCCTTTTTTTTTTTTTTTTTGAAGAGGTTTTTGCTATAGGGCGCGTGCGCTCGCCAGACAGAGAGAGGCAGAGAGATAGAAAGTGAGAAATCACCCCCCAGGTGGGATGGCCATGCCGCAATCCCTTCTCCTCCATTCTCCTCTCGGGATCTTGGGCACGCATGCACACGCGCCCGGCATGAGTTTAAGCCACCGGGTCCGGGTCTCAAACCGCGGTCAACTACGTGGGAGTCCAGCAACATAGCCATTACGCTAACTGCTGGTCCTGGCAACTGCCTTCTTAGGTGGCTCTCAGCCCTCTCTGCTTCTTGGCCCACATCTTTATTGTTAGTTGCTGCCATGAAGACCAGGGTCGTTGCTTTGCTCCCCCAGGGCTCAGGTCTGTGTCTGTCCCAGAGCTGCTGGAGGGAAGGGGTGTGTTCCCAGAAGACCTCTGCAGGCGTGATGGGTACACCTGTGGGTCATTGTGTAACTTGGCTCACTAGACTGGTCCCCCTTCTCACTGGTCCTAAGAAGGTCAGGCCAGCTCTGTTTGCCCAGTTTTGCACATGGCTCTAAAGGTTGGAGCCTTTTACAGATTCAGTTTTGCCATTTTCCCCTACTCTTTGTGCATGAGCTGGAGTGGTATGTTTATAATAGTCCTGCAAACCCAGATATTACGGATTATAGGACCCGATCCTGTATCCATCACACCCTAAAAAGTCAGATTTCTGTTTGACTCTCGGTGGAGACTGGGGTTAGCTTGGGTAGTGTTCCCACACTCCATGTGGGTGAGGAGGCACTGGCCATTGTTTCTTTTGCTTCTACTAACTTTTAAAAATATGTTCTTAAAGTTAATTCAGAATTCTGCTCATTACTTCGTTAATTCAGTTAATTCATTTGTTCACAAACCTTGATTGTGTTTTTCCATGCCCCCCTGACTATTTCCTGCCACAACTGCCATCCTGCTGGGTCTTGAGGGGTGGGCTGTGTCTCTGCTTCTGGCACCCCTCCCTTCACCCACTTAGGAGCTCCTGGCTGGCTGCTCTCTGCTCGATTCCTCTCCTTCTGCTATTGTTTGAACACACTCTGGCTCTCAGACTGCATTTGTCAGGGTCATGGTGACCTTTAGATGCCCCCACCAGTGGTCAGTCTTTGTCCTTCTCTGAGAAACCAGGGAGCTAGAACAGCCCTGGGCAGTGTGGGCACTTGTCCACTCTCTTGGCATGACAGTCATTTGCACCTGACCCTTACCACTCACTCCGTATTGTCCAGAAGCTCTCAAACATACTTGCTTATAAAACTAGTTCCCTTTTTTCAGATAAAAAGGATTCCTTCCAGAAAGTTCCATTTGTCTGCAGTGCAGCCAGAATTCCTGGGAGTTTCTCCATGGATCTGATTTTGGTTTGCCCTCTCTCCTGTGGGTAGAATGTGGAAACCTGATGTTGTATCCACTCTGTGTCCCTCTCTAGAAATTGTTCTGTCTGAGGGGCATGTAGCCTGTAGCCACACCCTGCCTTCTCACCTCCTTCCCATGAAGCCCCTCTCTGCAGGAGAACAGTCATGATAGAGACTCTGCTGCGTGAAGGGCACTTCTGAGGTCATCAAGGCATCATAATGCTGTGTCCGTGAGAACAGAGTTCTTGGTACTCAGCTAAAAGCCTGAAGTAGGAACGGTCTTGGAGCCTGAGCCAGTCTACTCTGGCAATGAGTCAATTACCTGTAGACACATAGACTAGTTAGAAAGTCTCACATGCTTCTATCCAATTACGAAATACATTCTAAGGCCAGCTGGTGGGGCACTGATAAATAACACGGTGTTGCTTGACCCACATGAGAAGGTCTTGGGTTTGTGTTCGAGGGCCTCCTTATGCATGTTGAGCACATGCGTGTGCCCATAATCCTGACTGGCTGAGGCTGGGGGTGAATCTTTCCATGAGCACACTGATGGGAGGTATTTCTCTCCTCTCTTTCTCTCTCTCAGAAGAGATATATAAACTTAAAAAAAGACGCATTTCCAGTAGAAATTTCTTTGTGAAATGATTTACCAAGATTTGTCACATGTTCATGTGTGATAAATTGTATACTAACACTTAACTACAATGATAACTCTATCTAGAAGAAAATTTTAACACTCAGAGCCTCACAGTCATAGAAAATTTAAAAACACAAGTTTAAAATTCCATTTATATGTTTGTTGCTGCCAAGGAGTTTGATAATGATCAATAAAAGACTTTGAAGCATAAAAACATATTCCATGAAGATAAAATCATATGAGGGAAGTGAGGTGGAAATGTAAATTCGAGAAGGAAAGAACCTTGTACCATTGCTGTTGGTGAAGGGCTCTGTCGTATTTATATATTTATTGATGGGGGCAGTCAAATCATGGCTATTTGGAGGCCATCAGTGAAGGAAGCATTTTACTGCTAACCGAATAATTATAATATGTTAACAACCTCAAGCTCTGTAGTTTTATAAACTTTAGCTAAACATTTTAGTGCTAAATTGGTCTTTTCTGATTCCCTTAAGAGGGAAGGGCTTCAAGTTTGAGGGCTCAGCGTAGGGGTTGGCTCCTCGCGTCAGAGGGCCTAGAATCCATGCAGTGCCCATCTGCCAACCCTCAACCTTCTCCAGGTCTGGGCAGAACCTGTGGTTCTGAGATTTCTTTTTTTTTTTTTTAATAGGTGGAGAAAGTGCAGGTTCTGCTCATTCCTGTTGTTTAATTTTTGAAGGCCCTGCCTCTTGCTGGAAAAGCCTTTCCCTTTCCCCACAACCACCCATCTTTGGTGCAGGTTCTGCTGGCTGCTCTGTACCTTTTGAGGAGGCACTCTCCATTCTTGGGCTGTACTTCCGGGAACACATGCCGACCATGTGACCAACCCTGTCCAGTCCCTGCCCTCATGGAATGGCCTAGTGAACTCCCGACTCAGGTCAGGCCTTTCTGGGTGAGCCAGGCTGGTCAGACCCCATAATTTGGGCCTCGTTAGGACTTAGTCCCTCACTTGAAGCAAAATTGCTTAAAATGAGCGGGAATGACTTAATTTTAACATTTTTCAATAGAAGGAATGCTTGGAGGTCAGAAAAGAAAATATACTTTCCTGAGGCTTGGGAAAAGAAGCATCCTTTGAAGGGCCAAGGCATAGAATGGTGGAAAGGGGATTTGGGCCCAGGCACTGGTGTGGACATAGGTGGGGCCTGCAAAAAGGCTTTTGCAATTTCAGAGCTTTGTAGTAGAAGTCTAAAATTTTCATGTTGATTGAATTATTATTATTTTTATAATAAGCAGTAGAGGAATTAGGAGAATTCTGTTCTGGAAGCTCAGAGTCTTTTGTGGGAGGACTAGGCTCTCTCCTCCTTCCAAGCACCAGGTGCTGGTGGGGGAAATGATCATCACACACTTCTGAGACCCGAACCCACTGAGGATATGCCAAATGTGGGGTGTGGGGCTGGGTGCAAACAGATTTCCTAAGAACCTTTCTGGAAAGAGCGTCAAGTATTGGCCTAGATGTGGGTGGAAATGAGGCAGCCACCCTTTGTCTGATGTTGGGGTTTCTGTGGGTTCAATTTTTAAATTTTAGATTTATTTTCTAGATACTTTGAACATCTTTCCATAGAAGCAGACAAAGACTTACTTAAGAAACATGGATTTCTGACAGACATCTGTCCTTGTCTTAACAACTTTCAGTTTCTAAAATAATTGAAGATGTATTATTTTTTTTTCAAGTTTATTTAATTCAGATGGAGAGTGTGTGTATGCATGCACACATGAAAGAGAGAGAGAGACTCTGAACAGGGCCTTGTCACACTGTGATTCGCTTTCCCTGGCCCTCCAGTGTGTCAGCGTCTTGGGCATGCATATATGCACCATATTTTTAAAGCAGACCCAGGGATCTGAACTCATGTGCTAAGCTATGTGGCTTCTTAGCACCATAATCCAGTTTGTTACCTACTGTGCTACCAGGCTGGGCCTATTCTTTCTTTCTTTTCTTTTCTTTTTTTTTAGAGAGGTTTTTGCTATAGGGCGTGTGTGCTCACCAGAAAGACAGAGCGAGACAGAGAGACAGGAAGCCAGAAATCACCCCCCAGAGGGATGGCCACGCCCAGGCCCTTTTTCTCCATGCTCCTCTTGGGATCTTGGGTGGGCACGCATGCACATGCACACGCCTGGTGTGAGTTTAAGCCACCGGGTCCGAGACTTGAACCGTGGCCGACTACAGTTAGCCATTACGCTAACTGCTGGTCTTGACTTTTCATTTTCTTAACAGGGTATTTTTGTTTGTTTGTTTACTTATTTATTTATTTAGCTGAGGGCGTGTGTACTCACCAGAGAAAGATAGAGGGAAAAAACAGTCCTTAATGGGTCATAGTCACACACAATCCCTTCTCCATTTCTCCATCCTGTTGAGATTTGGGGGCAGGTATATACACACACACCAGCATGTTTCTTAAGCTTCCAAGACCAGGGCTCCAACTGCATGGTTAGCCATGTGGAATCTGGCTACCTTAACCACCAGGTTACAGAGCTAGCCCTTAACGGGATCTTTTGAAGAGCAAGCTTTTTAATGTTGATAAAGTCCAGTTTACTGATTTTTTTTTTCTCTTATAGTTTGTGCTTTTTGTGAACTATTTAAGAACTCTGCCAAACTCAAGGACACTAAGGTTTTTCTATTTTGAATTACTTTTTGTGTATGTTACAAAGTAAGATTTGAAGATTTCTTTTTGGCATATGGCTGTGCAATCTCTTCAGCACTATTTATTGAAAAGATTCTCTCCCAACATTGAATTTCCTTGGCATCTTTGTCAGAAATCAGTTGACCATGTATGTGTGGGTTTATTTCTGGATTCTACTTAGTGGTATTCCCTGGGCATCATGACAATAAAAACTGTCCCGCAGAAATATCTAAATACCCACTAGGGTGGGCACTAAGAGTGGATTAGTTCTAAAAATCAGAACCAATGTATGCATTTATAATGTTAGTATTATATAAACAGTTGCCCTTGTAGAAAAGGAAATACAGTCTTATGACACAAAATCTATGCCCCTCAGAGAACAATATTCCTACCATCAGAAGGATTCCTACCTATCTACCTATCTATCTAATCTATCTATTTTCACCATTTGGATTGCTCTGTCTGCCTCATTCTCTTTAGACTTTGCCTTTCTCCCCAGAGCCCATCAGGCTCCTTGTGAATGTGGGCTGTGCTCTGGACCCAGACCCTTTGCCCTCTCTGGCTCTTGGATGGCCTGGTATTTGGGATTTGCCTGCCCAAGTCATGACTTTCAGACTCAGCCTAAACCTTCAGGAGGTGACTACTTGGCAGCAGGCTGGAAGTAGGAGTAGCTGGCTCCTTCCCACCCCGTCCTTGGGGCAGGTGGCAACGGCAGCAAAGCTCACCTTCAGGGAGGGAGGAGGGTGCCGAGGGGTACACAGGAGTGTCACAGGGTGTTTGGCTCTTGCACTGTTGCAGTGGATACTCATGAAGAGTTTTAACTATTGGCCCAATATTGTTGAAGGGAGTCTTTTAATTCTTTTGTTTTCTGGCTCTGTTTGGTTTTCTTTGCACTGACTCGATTGAGAATCTGCATCTTAATTACTTTTCTGCAGAGTCTTTCCTTGTTTTTTTTTTTCCTGAGCGGACACCATTTGGTTCTTTTCTGCCATATGTTGAGCCTCCAGAACATCCGTCTATATTTTTTTCCCTAAAAACACCTAAAAGCAAAGTACAGGCTCTTGCTGGACTATTTTGCAAATACTTTTTATCTTCTAGTAAAAGGGCACATTGGTGAGAGCAGGGGTTCTTTCAGGGCAGCCATTTTAAAGGACAATGGAATTGTCCTAATCATCTCTGATTCATACCGTTAGTGATGGATGCTATCATAAGCCAAGTGCTTCTATAGTTCATCTGTGTTATTTGACATTTGAACAATAACCAAAATAGCAAAGAAGAATAGGCCAAGGGAGCAAGGTGCGGGCGCCTGGGCAAATCTGACAGCCTGAGGGGCTGGGAGCTGATGGACCCATGCGTCTGTGGGTGGTTCTGCATTCTTGGGGCTCCTCTGCCCTCTCCATGCTGTCATCGCATTCATTGTCCCCTTTCTTCCCTATTTGACCCCCAGAGCCAGGTTCTTCCACTTCTCTCTAGCTCTAAGTTGCTCACCCTTCACTTCTTGGGGAGAAGGAGTGGGACCTGAAACCTAGCAGATTTAAGCAACAAGAAGAGCCAGTGAAAGCCAACTCCAGACCCAAGCTGTGATGCAAATACTTCCTTTCATGTTTCACACCAAGACTCAGGCCATCTTTCCTGTGGGTCACTTTGGCAGGTAGTAAGTAGCGTGTCCTCCTGGTGGAACCACTTGGACTCTGTAGTACACAAAGAAGATAGGATGGTGTAGGGGCTAAGGCAGCTAGATCCCAGGTGGCTGACTTCATGGACCACTGGCTTGAAACATCACACTTTGTGTGTGTGCGTGTGTGCCCAAAATCCCTAGAGGAGAATGGAGGAGAAGTGATGGTGACATGGCCATCCCACCTAAGGGATGATCTCTCTTTCTCTCTTTGTCCAGCAAGTGCTTGCACCCTATAG